CCCCAAAACCCCAAAACCCCAAAACCCCAGTACTTAAGAATAAGCAAAAATAATTGGAAATTAGATAATCAAGTTAATATCCTTAAAGTCTCAAATTAAATCATTTAAAATAATTATTAATATAAATAGGAAAGAATAGATGAAAGCCCTCAAACTAGCAAGTCTCATGACTCTTGCCACCGTTGCATCCGTAATTTTATCATATACTTACATATTTTAGGCTGCAACTAATTATGATACTATAACATTGCTTAAAACATTTGCCCCATTAGTAACATCAGATAAAGTACTTCAAGAGTAATTCATTCTTGGTATGTAAGCTGATCCAACTTAAACCACCTCTGAATGCTATGCTTCATATTTATTATGGAGATAATCGGCTGATAAAATCTCTACAGCCAAAGCTAGTATAGAGGCAAAGACTGAAAACAATAATAATAATATACTTAAGTATGGAGCTTATATTTAATAGCTCAAGGTATATATTGAGATCGCAAATTTATTCTCAAATTTCTACGAGTAATATTGCTTTCTTAACCCATTTCTTTATAGCCTTTGTGATTACTAAAACATTATTGTTCAAATCGGATCCTTCACCTAAAAGTTATCTGGACTTTCATCTCAACTTGTCAATTGTGGTTTCAGAGCATTGTCTGATGACTATAAAGATTTCAACGCTGCTTGCAATAACTACGAAGGTATAAATAAAAGTCTTGGAACTGATATGACAGATAGCTCTGGTGCTACCTACAAAGTTTACTGCGGCACAGAGCTCGCAAAAGTTTTCAAGAAGTTTATAAATACTCAAACACCAGTCTACTCCAACAATGAGTATAAAAAGGTTCAAACCTAAAATGCTGAATCAATATAATGAGGATCTTTCTAAAAAGTACTGTCCTCAAGAATACCTTATTCTTTTCAATGATAAAATATTTAAAGTCTCATCTATTTTAAGATTTCGCCTCTAACCTAAAACTCTCATATATTTATCTTTTCTAATTTTCGTCGAAAAAAGATTCTTAAAATATGGGGTTTTGGGGTTTTGGGGGAGTATAGTGAACAAAAACAGTAGCTCCTTT